CCCCACTGCCGTTGCGAAGGTCCTGCGGCTTTTCTTTGACTCGGTTGCCCGCTTCCGTTTCTCTTGGCGGTACCACTGGGCACGCTCCGAGGAACCCATCTTGGCCACGCTTCCCCTCAGGGCCTCAGCGCTTTTTCGAGCTTTCTTGGCCTCCTCGCTTTCTTTGGCTTCTTCGGCAGAGCCCTTCTTCGGTGCTTTAGCCATCCGAGAGAGGCACCGGTCTGTGGACGAACAGCAGGAGCAGATCCGCCTCAAGCAGTTCCTTCCAGTTGGGTAGCTCGTCAAGATGCTTGTCTCTTCCTCACACCTGATGCACATGATGCTCTGAGGCATCTCCTGGTCCGGGGCATCTGTCATGCTTGCTGCGGGGCAGGGGAGCACGAGTGTGGGAGCTGAGGGGCTTGTGGAGCCAAACAAATCGCTGCAAGACACAAAAACAAGAACCCTGAGTTCAATGGCTGTCATCAGGGAACTACCCGGCAAGCTTACTCAGCGAACACAGAAGGGTTATCGGAAGACTGTTTTGCACTATTCTCAAGCTTGCTGTGTGCACACACACACACACATCTGCTCATCCACCTACCATCCTAGCAGGTCCTATCTACGAACAAGCAGACCGCCACCATGGCAACCGACACCGCTTAGAAGCGCTAGTCGGAATCCGAGAGGTGGATCGCTTCTTTTGGCAGGTTCAAGTGAGGTGGGAAACGCAGCTTGCGCTGAGCATTCTCTGGCATGTCTCGCCCTGAGCTAGTAGAACGCCTCCGTCTGTCGCCAACCTTGCTTCCGGAGCTTTGTGCTGGCTCAGATTCGTTCTTGGAGCTCTTGCTTGCTGGCGAGAGCCAGTTTTTGGATGAAGCTTTGGCTTTAGCCAAACACTCGAAGAGGTGTGTTGCTTTCTCACTCAGGACGAGTGGACTCTGTGGCGCAGCATCATCAACGTCCATGCCCGGATCATCATCCGAAAAAAGCTCGTCAACCAGTCGCTCAAGCTCTAGCTCCAAGTCATCGGACTGGTGACGTGGTAAGTCCTGGGTGCTGCCTTCTGGCTGGTGACGTGGTAAGTCCTGGGTGCTGCCTTCTGGCTGGTGACGTGGTAAGTCCTGGGTGCCATCTAAACCAGCTGTGCTGGTGTCACGAGGCAGAGTCTTTGGGGCTTCCTCTTCAGCTGAAGCCTCCGGCTTTGTGCTGGTGTCACGAGGCAGAGTCTTTGGGGCTTCCTCTTCAGCTGAAGCCTCCGGCTTTGTGCTGGTGTCACGGTCACGAGGCAGAGTCTTTGGGGCTTCCTCTTCAGCTGAAGCCTCTGGCTTTGTGCTGGTGTCACGAGGCAGAGTCTTTGGGGCTTCCTCTTCAGCTGAAGCCTCTGGCTTTGCGCTGGTGTCACGAGGCAGAGTCTTTGGAGCTTCCTCTTCAGTTGGAGCCCTTGGCTTTCGAACCCTGTTGGCCTTGGGGTTGCGAGTCTTTGGGGTTACCTCTTCAGTTGAAACCTTTGGCTTTGTAGCTGTTTTGGCCTTCGGGGTTCGGGTCTTTGGGCTTGCCTCTTCAGTTGAAGCCTTCGGCTTTGCACTGCTTTTGGCCCTCGGTTTTCGAGTCTTTTGTGTTGCCTCTTCAACTGCAGCCTTTGGTTTGGAACCTTTTGTGGCGCTTGGCCTCGGGGTCTTTTCAAGGATACAAGCTGCTGATGTACCCGGTGGCTTCGTGTGCGGCAGAAGCTCCACTGCGCAGGCTTTGCAACGGTTGCCTGCAGTGAGCACGCCAGAGTTGACCGCTGCCTCCACGAGCGGCGAGGCAACAGCGGCCAGCTGCACTGGCGAGAGAGCGTTCCCGATCGCATGCAGGGCATGGGTGTCTCTCGAGAACAAGGCCGCGTGGCTTGCACGCTGCCCCAGAGCGCTGCACCGCTCAGCGATGCTGAGCCACCTGTGCAGTCGCATGACCTGCCATGGCCTCGACAAGTCCTCGCAACTCAGAAGAAACAAAGGTGGCCCCGTAGTCCTCAGTGATGGGATCTTGCCCCAACCCCACTTCCCGCCGAAAGTTCTCAAGGGGTTTCGGTCGAGCTCCACAACAACCGTGTTCGAGGGCAGCGGCTTGCCTTGGGCACGATGCTCTTCGATGCACTGAGATATGGTCTGCTTGTACAATGTGAGGTTAGCAGCGTGCCCTGCACACAAACTCTGCACATCGGTCGCAGCCAAGCTCAGATCCAAAATCTCTTCCAGTGTGACTGCCGGGAGCAGATCCGTGCAGCACAGGGGGGCAGGGAGGAACGCCTGCATGGGGTCTGGCAGGCAGTCTCTCCTTAGCCCTCTGATGAAAAAACGACCTCTCTTGACTGGCAGAAACTCCGCAGCATCCTTTTTCACGGTGTCTACCAAAAAATATGGCAGTGACACTTCAAGTCTCAAGAGCATCTCATTCAGAAACTCAGCATGGTTGGCATCAGCCAAATGTGAGCTGTTTTCCAGAATGAAAAACAGAAGACAGCCACGCGAGCCTTCCTCACATATCATGCTTACAACTGATTCAAAAACATCTGTGCGGCCTTTTTCGTCCTGGGCGCCCTGCCTTAAACCTGTGGAGGCAAAAGGCTGACAAGGGGGCCCGCTTATCAAGCCTTCCGCACTTGACAGTTTTGACAGCACGACATTCCTCTCGATGTCCCCTTCTTGCAAACCCAGTTTGACTTCCGAAGTCCCCTGCAAACCCTGGTTTCGCAGAGCTCGCCAAAACGGCACCAAGTCCATGTTGAAATCGTAGGCTGCGCATGGCCTGTAAACAAGCCCTGCTTTCTGCATCCACTCTCGATAAGCAGAGATGCCTACACAGGGCTCAGCAACCACAGGTGCACGCCCGAGCTTTGAGCTCCAAGGACTCATCGCATACAGGAGCTTCGCTGCCCCAGTCTCCATCATGCTGCAACCCACTAAAAACAAAAGCTTGGCTTGAGAAAGAAAAGAAATCAGGATGATGGCTCCGGCTGTCTACGCTATTCTTGGAACTGGCTTTGCTCACTCTCAGTGACAAACTCAGGACTGATGTAAACATTTCCACCCACGGAAAAAGACAAGCAATCATGCAATGCAGTCTCTCAGTCAGGCAATTGGGTGGCACAGTCTACCCTTGCAATGCACTTGTTTCCATTTCCATGCAAGGCCTTGAGACAGGCAATCATGCAATCTCTGAGTCATGCAATTCGGCGACAGCATTCCACCGCAAACTCTTATTGTCTGCGACAGCATTCCACCGCAAACTCTTATTGTCGGCGACAGCATTCCAGCATTCCACCGCAAGCTCTTATTGCCGAAAAAAAACCGCACTCAGATTCTGGACCCTTCCTTCCACCATTGCCACCACCAAGTGGTCCCATCATCTGTCTCCATTCGTTGACCCTTCCTTCCACCATTGCCACCACCAAATGGTCCCATCATCCGTCTCCATTCGTTTCCAGCACCACTTCCAAATGATAGTCGCAACCCTTTCCCCTCGCGGGGATCTGGATCGCTCGGATCGCTCCTGTGTGCGGCGGGTGATCACACTAGTGATCACACTGCTGCCCGCCTGCGGCTGGGTCGCATCAGTGATCACACTGCTGCCCGCCTGCGGCTGGGTCGCATCGGTCTCATGCACTGGAGAGTCACCTCGTTTGCGTTTGCCAGGCATACCCCTGGCGCTTTTTTTCTTTGCTGCTAACACAAACAAAGCCTCGAGAGAAAACGGCTGCTGTGCAAAGAGTTTAGAGGACGCAGAGGACATCATGAGACGTGGGCGGGACCGGGGCTGGGCGGAACTCGGGCGGGACAAGGGCGGGACATGGCGGGACGTGGGCGGGACATGGCGGGACATGGGCGGGACATGGCGGGACATGGGCGGGACATGGCGGGACATTGGCGGGACATGGGCGGGACACGGGCGGGACATGGGCGGGACATGGCGGGACACGGGCGGGACATGGGCGGGACATGGGCGGGACATGGCGGGACACGGGCGGGACATGGCGGGACACGGCGGGACATGGCGGGACACGGGCGGGACATGGCGGGACACGGGCGGGACATGGCGGGACATGGGCGGGACATGGCGGGACATTGGCGGGACATGGGCGGGACACCCAAAACGGCCCCAGACACCCTCGGGCCCCGCCCCGGACACCTTTCCCGGGCCCCGCCCCGGACATCCCGGACACAACCCCGGACATCCCGGACACGACCCCGGACATCCCGGACACGACCCCGGACATCCCGGACACGACCCGGACACGACCCCGGACACCCCGAACACGAGACCCCCAAACAGGTGCTAAATCCCCTGCAAACGCCCTCCAGAGCCCTCCCAGTGCCCCCAAAGCCCCCCCCGAAGACCCCCAGGGCCGCCCCCTTGAGAATTCACTGTGTTTTCTGTGTTCTGTCCTCTTGTGGCCTTAAAACCCTTTATGAGTTCAACATGCCCGGCAAAAACAAAACTGAAACGCTTCAGTAGTTGTTTTGCAACAAACGCTCGACCGTGATGATTCCTGGTTGTAGTTTTTTCTGGCTGTGCACTTGACCACACGCCCCGCCAGCCTGCTGAGAACGAATCTTTTTTGGCACGACTGTGCTCGGCAGTGCTTGGTGAGTGGAACACTGGAGCTACTTCCGACTTGGCCTTTTCAGCTTCAGTTGTGCTTGGTGCCTAAGGGTTCAGGTTTCCGGCTAAAAGCTTAAAAGCTGTAGTAGCTGTATTTTGCTTGGTGCCTAAGGGTTCAGGTTTCCGGTTTCCGGCTAAAAGCTTAAAAGCTGTAGTAGCTGTAGCTTTGCTTGGGGCCTGAAGGCTTTCGTGAGCTAAGGGCGGGTGAAGGCCAGTCGGGCTCCTACCCTACGGCCTGGCTCTACGGCCTAGCTACCGCGGCCTAGCCTCCTCTGCGAGAGCCGAATCTTAGGGCTCTGGGTCCAGGATCGCACGGATCTTAGGACACCAGGCCCAGGATTCTTCCTCTCGCCCAAAAATCTTCGATGTTAGGACTACTGCTGCTGCATGTCCAGCATCTTCGTGGTGGCATCGAAAAAGGCCAGCATCATCTGGGGGATCTGAGGGCTCTGGCTCTGACCCGCCACCATGGCCCGATCCCTTGGCGATGATTTGCTGCGGCCTAGCTGCCCTGTCGGCTCCTTCCGCGAATCGCGCCCACGGCGGCCGGAGCTTGCCGCAGGCTCGCTCGCCCTGCGGCTGCGGGAGCGGCCCGAGAAGCGTCGGTCCATGTGCTCGCTGCCGCGGGAGCTCTTGCGGCTCCCTCGAGAGCTTGCCTGGCCGCCGCCTTTGCGGCTTTTTTGAGAGCTTGCCTGGCCGCCGCCTCGAGAGCTTGCCTGGCCACGGCTCTGGCGGCTCTCACCACGGCTTCTCCGCCGCCCACGGCTGCCATCATCATCTCGGCTCTCTTCACGCCGCGGGCCACGTCTGTGCGGCGGCTCCTCCACACGCCCCCTGCTCCGCAGCTGCACCGGCGGCCTGTGTTGGCTCATGCTAGCCGCCCGGTCCTCCTTTGATGGCTGCTTCTTCCTTAGCCTCGTCGGATTTCGGGTGCGTGCCCAGGCAGTGCTGCAGCATGTCCCACCTGCGCATGAACTGCCGTGAGCAGTGTCTGCACTGGCACGCACCCGAGCTCGCCTGCTCTTCCGCAGGCTTTTGGCCGGCCACATTTTGGCCGGCGGCGTGGAGCCGCCACTGGCGGCAGTATTCGCTGTTCTCCAGGTGGCTTTGCAGGCCTTCTTTCTTCACACACATCCAGCAGTGCTCGCAGCGAACGACATCTGCCTCGTCCGCTGAGTGCCGGCTGCGGTTCTTCCTCGCAGGCCGCGCTGCAGGCTCGCCCTCCGCCGCCTCCGCCTCCTTGTCTTCCTTGGGCTCCTTGGCCTTGCCGCTCTCTTCTCGTCGGCCTGGGCCTCGTGTGCCTGCTTGGCCTCCTTGGCAGCGGGGGCTGCACGGGGCTTTTCTTTCTTGCTGGAGGACTCACTGTTGCCTCCGCTGGAAGAGCTGCTCTCCTTCTTCTTCTTGCGCTTCTGAGCAGCCTCCTCCTTTTTGCCACCCTTTTCTTCTTTCTTCTTCTCCTGGTCGTGGTCCACCACCACGATATCATCCTTCCGCGACTGGGAGTCCGGCTCCTTGTCCTCGTCCTTCTTAGCCGCCTCCTCCTCCTCAGACTCCTCGTCGTCATCCTCGCTGCTTAGGTCCACCTGGCCAGGATTTTTTTTCGGCGCCGGCATTGCTGCAGCCCCCGAGGGGTTAGCAGCAACACCGCCACCTGTGGCTGCACCGTGGGCTGCACCCGTGCCAGCAAAAGGGGCCGCCGCCGCCGGCGGATGCGGCGGCAACAGCGCAGGCGGCCGGTGTGGGAGCTGCGCCTCGCCCCACTGGTTGTAGACCACCGGCACCCACCTGCGAGCAATTTTTTTTAAGGTGTTGGGGGTTTTGCTTTGCTTTTGAGAGGCTAATCTGTTCCAACAGACACCTGCAACTGCAACCTGGCTTGCTGCTACACCTATAGCGGGGACGCTAAACTGACTACTGTGCATCCTGTAGCTCCAGGGTAGCTTCGTGCAGCCCACAGACCAGGTAGCGTGCCGATCCATAGTGCAGCCTGGGAAATGGGTTAGCGTCGAAAACGCAGCCCGAAACCCAGGTGAGCACACGGTGGCCGCATCTGGCTCTGTGAGTTAGCAAGCTTCTTACTCTAGGGGCTTAAGGACTGCCTGGGTTTCAAAGCTTTGTAACTTTACAGGTTTCTCACCGCAAAGCTTTCGAGACTCGACTACACTTCTCCCTGCCGGCCTTCCGTAGTGGGAGAAATGCCAATGCATTGGCCCCTGCACAGCCCAAAGGAGCCGAAAGGGGCTGCGGGCAGTCACACATGCACGGGCAGTCACACATGCACACAGTGACCGAGGTACTCTTGCAGCAAACGGAAGCAGCACAGTCAGCCAACACGTGTCCTGCATCCAAACAATGCAACAAACTAAAAAAAAACCCTCAAACGTTCACTCTGACTGCCGTGTGTTGCATCAAGCGATCCGGAGCATCATGGCATCCACCTGCTCTTCACTTGGCTTGTCCGCAATGTGAGCTTCAGCTCTGCGGTGGTGAGCTGCTCGCATTTGCCAAGCAAGCAAAAAGGCAGCAGCCCGCCTGCGGCTGCCATGATGCCGTACAAACGTGTACAAGCGGCAGCCGCTGTGTGTCTCGCAAGCAACGAATGCTCGGAGCTGACCGCTGGAGTGTGTGAAATTGTCAAAATGCACTACCTGTGTCCTACCGCCTCCCAAGTCGATTTCTAGAGGAGCGACACGTCTACCACCGCTGGCCATGCTTGGCTGCGGCTCTTCTGCTTGCATGAGCTTTTCAGGCAGCTCTTGCACAAGCTCTTCTAACTCGGCATCATCAGCCTCTGGGTCAAGCTCCAGACCTGTAGCCGCATCTCTTGTCAAGCTGCGGCCAGCAGGTCTTTTTTTCTTCTGCGCGAACCGAGCATTGATTTCCTCTGCAGAAGCATCCCGCAAGCTGCTGAGATCGTCCTGATCCACCAAGAACTCATAATACTGCTGGGGGCCTTTCAAGTAAATGCCCGACAAGTTGCCGGGCTTTTCCCATATAAGCCGACTCAGCATCAAAGCTCTGAGGAAGGGGAGGCTGCAAACTAGAACGTCATCTGGAAGACGTTTCTCTCCCTGCTTGCGATGCCACGCTTCCCGGCCCAGCCCTGGCTCCCAGCCCAAGACAAACAACAAACGAATTAACTCCAACTTTGATCGGCCTGGCATCTGGCCTCGAGTCAAAGTCGTTTGGTCAAGCTCCCAAAGCAACAATGGCCGTGCCAGCACCAAGCTTGCACTGTAGGTCAACTTGCCCGTCAAGGCGACGGATACATCTGAGAACATATCAGTCTCGCAGATGACAAGACCTCGGTCACGCAAGCCTTCCAGTGCAACAGCATCGAAGTGTTCAAGGTCTGTGGCATACACAGCAGATTCAATGCCGATGGCCCTTGCTCGCAGCAACTCTTTGATAGCTTGCATTTCTCGGTCGCTACACGGAGCACCGTAGACCTGCAGCACCGCAGAGTCGTCCGCATTCTGCACGACATGGGCAGGGGGGTGCAGGATGTCGAGGGCATCTTCCACATGCGGATCCGGAGGCGGTCGACTCAACAAGCAGGCAGGATCGCTGTCTAAGACAATCTCTGGAAGTTTCTGCACTTGCGGCTCCTGCAGCAAACCTGGCTGCGTGGACTCGTCTCCCAGAGCCAAGGCCAGTTCCGCAGGCATAGCACGCCAGAGCAAACAGTTTGCACAAAAGGCTTTCAAGTTCTCTGCTGTGCACACCCGTGCCAAGTCGAGAACCTCGATCCGCACATTCGTGCACGCCACCCGCACATCTCCACCAAGGCCGTGCACGCCCTGGGAAACATCCACGTCGTGGAAACGCTGCACAACCACACAGCTGCGGCGGCCTAGCTTCGGGTCTGTGATGTGTGCAGCAGGTCGCGAAACACGAGCATCCGTTCTTGCTTCTGGCCTGGCATCCAGCACCGAGCAGAAAACCGAAGCACGATCACTTACCCGAGGGTGGACGTCGGCTCGCAGAATAGACAGCAGCACGTCGGTTCTGAAGGATGCGGCTGGGTCTTCACATCTCCGACCCCTGTCGACAAGTAGCTCAAAGACATGCGTGGACACACTGAAAAACACGCCCGTCGCCAAATGGCCTTTCAGCCAGTTCACTACCTGGTGGGAAGCACTCGGAAGCTTGAAGCTTCCGGCCAGTAACAAAGTCTGATCTCTCAAAGTTTGGCGGTAAACGGCATCAGCACGAACAGAGTCCTCGCAATCTTTGAAGTGGTCTTCCTCGCTATACCCGTACAAGCGGGAAAGCCTCTTTGGCGTGTCCATAAGTCGAACCTCTTCGTGAGTGAGCATGTGCTCCAGCAGGCTACTCCAAAGGCGCCTGCTGCGCCAATTGTTGACCAAGAAAGCGAGCTGTTTCTCATCTTCCAGCATCTCCAACACTTGATCTCTGCGCTTGCGGCTGCAGACAACTGCAGGCCCAGCCTTTGTGAGACCACGGTTTGCTGCAACCTTGACACCGACATGCTCTCTCTCCGTGTGTCGCTCGGACAAAGAAACAAAGGCATATTCCTGTACTCTCCAAAACAACGCTGGCCATCGATCAAGGGGCACGTCATCCTCCGAGTTCAGAAACTCTCGGAGCATGCGGCCTGTGTCGGTTGGTCCAAACAAAGCATGTGTAACAGAGTCTAGAGCGCCGACTTGGCCACTGGAGATCATGTTGTCAACGTTCTGAAGATGTGGCCGAAGAACCTTTTTCACTCGGCCCCAAGTCTCGCCCATATACCCCGCAAACGCTGCGGCAAACACCCATGGTACTTGCTGAGCATACGCAAGCTTTTGCTGGATAACGGCAACAAATACTTTGTTGCACGTGTCCGCCATGTGCGCCATCCGACTTGCAGTTTCACTAGAACGAGACAAGAGATGCGCAAGAACACTAATCTCGTTGTTTGTCATGGCATCTTGCAAAGCTCCCTGGAGATTACCAACCGCAAGCCAAGGCAAGCGCCTGCCTTTCCAACAACAGTTTATCTTTTCCCGGTTTTCTGGGTCTGTCAGCTGCTCCTGATGGCAGTGACAACCCTCGAAAAAGTGGGCCAGCCTGGTGGCCTCGGCAGAGAACTGATGCGTCCACACTGCCATGTCGAAATGGCACTCGTCTGCCAACGCTTCCGTCACAGCTCGAATTGTGACTGACGAGCTGTCCCCACCAAAAACAGCTGGGTTCCAATATTTCTTGAAGGTGGGATATAGAGGAACCCAAACCTTCAGCACTCTTGCGAGCGAATCCCACCTCCAGTCTAAGAGGTCATCCATCCGATGCAACAACCGTCTCTCCTCGGGGCTCGCATGCTTCATCATTCTCACAAGAATTACTTCTGAGTAACTCTTTTCTTTGCACACACGGGTGATGCTGTTCAACTGTTTCTCGAATTTTTGCCAGGTTTCAAGCTGCTTCAAGCTGAATTCCAGTGCGTTAAACACTATGTGTAGTGTTCCCGGTATGTGTAGAGCGGAATGAAAGAGCGGCAATTCACGAAAATCCTCCTGTATTGCCTCGCTCGCCAAAGCTTGAGCGCCCACAATACTCTGGACCTCAGAGCAACTGCGGACTGGAAACGATGCTATGCCTCGCTCCGTTCCTTGATCGCTTAAGAAGCCCCGAACTTCCGAACGATACGTCTCAAAGAGAGACGCACCACTCTCAACGGCAATCATATGTACCATCTTGCTTGCCTTCGAAGCTGTGCTTCCTTGTCCTCTCGCAATTGTTGTACACAACATCGAACGCCTCTGGTGTTCAAACCCTTTGAAAGGAGCTACATTTCCACCCGCATCCCTTGGAAGCTCGTCGGAACGATAGAGCAGCAACTCTTCTGTCGCACAAAAATAATCATAATTCGCTTGCGGGGAACTGTCAGGACTGATGTACCTGACAATTCGCAGCGACTTGTCTGCCCCACCACCTGGTGGGGCAAGGAACCGGCGAGACAAGGAATGCAAGGCATCAAGCTTTAGCAAGATATTCCGCACATGCCCATGCGACACTTTCATGTTGTCTGCCAGACCTAAACTATCTGGCACTAACATTCGAAGGACGGTGCGAACCACATCTTGAATGCCTACCGTTGAGCTGAGCTTGTAAGCGAGCTTTCCCAACAGGATTTCTTGCATGGCCGGCCTGCGCACTTTCTTCATCTCGCAGGAGGAAGAGGAACCACTGTCGGCACCATCACTGGGGCTTCCTTCTGCCGCAGCAGGAACGGTTCCGGGCAACTGGTGCCCCAAAGAAGTCACAAGCCCACCAGGAACCACGAACTCCTTGCCTATCTCCATCAAATGCTTCATGACAGTTGGTGGCAAGCGAACCATCCAGAAAGGACGCCCTAGGTAACGCCTCGCAGTGCCTACTTCAGGCTCCGCCGCCTGTCCGTCTGCAAAGCAAGTGTAAAGGCCCTGGCGATCTGCAACGGCTTCGAAGATGACGCTTGGCGCAGCAGCTTGAAAAACCCATTGCGCTTGCCCTGCAGGCAAAACCGCCAACCTGCCAGCCAAGGCGGGCATCGCAGGAACAGGAGTCACCGCACCCTGGTTAGCAGCTGCAGGTGCCCGGCACCAGGCACCTGCCACTGCAGCCTGGGCAGGCCCCAACTGGACAGCTGCCCTGAAACGAAAAAGAGACTTCAAACAGCACTTGAACATCTGGTTTCGGGTTGTCTGGTTCTGGAGGGACATCTGCTTAGCGGCGAAATCTCGATCGCGACGTTTCTGACGCCGAGCTCGCCAAGTATCTTGCTGCTGCAAGTGCTCTTGGGCACCCAACGGCTTGATGCATTTTCCCCCAAGCTCAGCAACACAAAACAAATAATTCCCTGCAGCAGCGGTGCCCAGAGATTCTGATTCGTCGCCACAGGTTTTCGCATACAGAAACAAAACCTCTGCACGGGAAGCATTTCGAAGTCTGTCCCTATATCGAACAGTCCGCAGGGCACCTGCAGACCTGGGAGCCCTGGGAGCTTCCTCGGCCTCTGACTCGGACTCTCTGTCCTCAAGCTCACCGTCCCCAGGATCTGGAAGCCTAAAGATGGCAGGCTCTGCCATAGCACTATGACACTACACAACGAAAAGATCTGGCTTATCTTGGCTTATCCAATGTAACACCTCAAGCAAGCTAGGCTATGCCTACTGCCTACGTCCTCTTGCAAGATTGGATGATAAGTTGTCAAGCTGTCACTGTCACGTGAGTCATGTGCCTGAACTGTGCTGCGATTCGGATTCCCAATCATAAAACAGCCGACAAAGTCAGGAAGATATGCTTGCTTGCGGTTTGCAGTTTGGGTTGGCTACATCACAAGTTGTAGGTTTGTAGCTTTCACGACGATTTTGTTCCAAAACGTGCCGCGTTTTCTTGGGAAGGGACGATACTTGTTTGGAGAGGCTGTTGTTCTTGCGCTGACTGATCGATGGAAAAATAATCAAACCCTACTACAACAAATCATTTTCAAGTCCAGGGCTTGGAACCCATGCTCCAAATGCCCTGAACCCTCTTGCGCGTCACGCCCCCCGGGCCTAGATGAATCACTTATAACCGTTCCCTTGTACCATTTGGATAGCTTCAGCCGGTATGCAGCAGTATCGTCTGCGGCGTCTGGATTCAAGTCCATGTTGGTGTCACCTTGGCTGTTGCCGTTGAACCCGTTGAACCCTCAAAGGTTTTCTGTGCTATCAGTCCTAGTCCTACTCACGTGCCTATGCCTGTGCCCTGTATGTTGGCGGGCTGCGTGATTCGGGTGCTGCCGTGTCAGCTCGCATGTGCTTGCTGAGCGCTGCGAGAAGGACCGGCACAACTCGGTCCTTCCCACGCAAGAGTAGGAAGTCCTCTGCGCTTTCGATGGAGCCCCAACGTCCACTGACTACCGACAGGGGATACCGTCGCCCGAGTTTCAAGGTATCAAGGTCCGAGTCATTGAACGCCTGATCCCAGGACATCATGATTTCCGCCGCCTTCTCCCGCCAACAGTTGACGACTTTGCTGACGGACCCGAAATACTTCGTGAAACCAGCTAGCACCTGTTTGCTGAACAATGCGTTGAGCATCTCGTCAAAGAGCTCAAGGCCATTTTTCACGCTGGCGTTGAACATGTGCAGGTAACATATTCCGGGTAAATAGATGAGGTTGGGGCACCCAGCTGCAGTGATGGCTTCGCTAGTGCAGCGTTTTCGACAGGACTGGTCCGAGCCCTTGTCCGTGACATCCATGTACATGAACACATGACACCGCGATATGGAAGGATGCCTGGGTTGCTGCACTGAGTCACAGGCCACATGCCTACTGTAGTCTACTGAAGCAGTTAAGAGTTTCGGCTACTGAAACCGCAACCCCGCACAAACCATGCCCTCCAGTGGTGCTGAGTTCAGTTTGAGAAGCTCTTTTCGCAGCTCATTGACGACCTCGTGCCACAAAGGCACACCAACAGACTTCATCTGCTTTTCGACGAGGCCGTTGCATGATTCGGCGGTCTTTCCTGCTACGACTTGTGTGTCCGACCTTAAGTGAACATCAGTGAACCACAACCCCTCAGACAATTACTGGCATGTCAGGCGGCATGTCATGTCAAATCACAGAAGCAACACTGGGCACAGGACAAACACCGGCGACAATGAATAGCCTTATCGGCGTCGAACTTGCGAACAGCAGCGAAGTCTTCGACCCAGGCAAAGTCAACATCGAGAACATGAAGCTTCTCTCTCTTCCAGATGGAGCTGTTGGTTGCATCACATCTCATGGAAATCGTTGACAGCCGCCACTCGTGCTCCATTTTCGGGTGGATCTCGCCAAACTCCACATCTTCTTCACCATGCTGCGACGAGTTCACAACCGACACACAAGTTGACCTCATCTTGCACAGCAGTGCCGCTGCTGTCTTGAGCTCTGACCTCGTGACACGCTGCTGGCTCACGTCTGTCAGGATCGTAGCTCCGAAGTCAGCGGCCGCGATGTTGGAGAGGTTTCGTCGCACACCGATGGCAAATGCACTCTGCACTGACATTCGTTTGCCAGTTTTGCCTATGGGCACGATCTCAAGGCTTGACTTCCTAGCCTGTTCTTCGTCCAGCACTTTTTGCTTTTTCTTGATGATGCTCTCCTGTCGCTGGTTGATCCGCTTCAGCATTCTGATCTGCTTTGCTTGCTCCTGGCACTTTACAAGATGCTGTTGCAGTGCAGCCGATGCTTTGAAAGCGACAAATGCGCATTGTTGCGGCGGCATGTTTTCGTAGTCTTGGCGACGTAGCTCTTTTAGTGCTGTTGCTGTCCAGCGTCTGGGGTTGTTGCGGTGGATGTTGTCAAAGGGAACAACCGCCTGCTGCGACTGTTGCTGTGGATCCTGTAAGCTTTGCGAACCTTGCGAATCCTGAAACCTGACCAGCGCCAAGTCTGCCAGCGGTTCTCGGCCGTTGTTGCTTCCACTACCACCGGCACTCAATGAATCCGATCGCACCTCCAAGTCATCCAAGTCCAAGTCAAGATCAATGCTCGAGCCGCCGCGGCCCAGGCTGTCAGCACCGACGCTGCCACGATCGCCCACAGACGCAGATTCACTTCCGCCACTTCCGCCAAAGTTGACTAGGCCTAACATGCTGTCAGCATCCTCGTCGTCATCCACCACGACACATGATGTACGCATGCCCTTCGCCTGTCCAGGGGCATTGTCCCGGCACATGAACGGCAGATGCAGCCGAGCGAGTACCGATTGTGCTTGGGAGTGCTCAATGAAGACATGTAGATGTTTCTGAGGTAGCAATGGTGCCTGGGCACATGCCAACCACCGAACACAGAACGCACCGACCATGATCATGCTCGTGCATGTGACGTGCTGATAGATAACCCTGTGCCATGTGCACATGACACTTCATGCCTAATCCTTTCTGACCTGAACTCACGTGATCACATGGAGCATGAGATGATATGAACTCGTGCGCAGACGCACACGTGGGATCGTGCACTCATGGGTGTATGCTCTCATGCAGACAATGGCTCAGATGCTCTCATGCAGACATGCGCTCATGCACTCATGGGTCAGTATGCACTCATGGGCTTATGCACTCATGGGCTCATGCACTCGTGCACTCATGGGCTCATGCACTCATGCACTCATGCACTCATGGGCTGATGCACTCATGGGCTCATGCACTCTTGGGCTCACGGGCTCATGCACTCATGGGCTCATGCACTCATGGGCTGTTGCACTCATGCACTCATGGGCTCATGCACTCATGGGCTCATGCACTCATGCACTCATGGGCTCATGCACTCATGGGCTCATGCACTCATGGGCTCATGCACTCATGGGCTCATGCACTCATGGGCTCACGCACTCATGGGCTCATGCACTCATGGGTTCATGCACTCATGGGCTCATGCACTCATGGGCTCATGCACTCATGGACTCATGCACTCATGAACTCAACACTCATGAACTCATGCACTCATGGACACATGCTCTCATGGAAATGAAATGAACCCATGAACTAAAGTGCAACTCAGTCTCTTCGGCAAGTGCCCGCCGCACTTCACTGGTGGCCGCTCGCCTGTCAGTGCCACGGCCCGTCAGCAGCTCCACCAGAAGTTCGCTGAACCGACCCCGTGGGTAGACACGACCCGTGCCGTCGACGTCCACACCACGGGCAGCAGAAAACACTGCCAATCTCCGAGCCACCAACGCATCCATTGCTAGTGTCTGGTCGTCTTACATGCAAAAAGAAATGAGTGTGTGATTCTTCGTGATCCTCAACCAGCCCACCTTCACCGAAGCATTTCAGTCAAACCAGAAGTAAAGTATTGTGCTGTGCTGCACCTAGAAACATGCGAGCTAACCACCACATGTGTTCGAGAAGCAAACTTGGCAGCCAAAGCAACAACAAATCATGAAGATATGCCCTCATGAAACACATGAACCGAGAACCCAAAAATGATACCTGATGCAACCTCCATAGTAAAAAAACAATGAGCAACGCAGCCGCACACTATGTTTGATAAAAACCCCCGACACTAAAAAAACTATGTGCTTGCAGCAAGAACACACTAAACAATGATGTGCTCCCTCACAAAGATATGTGTTTTTCAACATGTACCCGTGCAGCAAAACACTCCGGTGTGATTGAAAACCCTAAGTCATACTGTTTGCTCCACAAGAAAGTACTACACGACCGGTACCATCAGAACTCATCCCCGGCAGGTGTTCTTAGCTAGCCTTGAACCAGCCAACCCCTCGGATGGATGTTATCATATTTAGGGTACAATATTAGAGTCCCCTATTTTCGGAAACTCCCACTTGTTTGCAGACCCTACCGAACAAGCAGGTTGCGGTAGACTCAGATAGATCTAGTCTATGCTGCAACAAAGAAGGGACCAGACCCTGCGAAGTGCAACCCCTCAGAAGTCTCTGGAGTACACTGGCCTTCTGAAAGTCTTACACCTCAAGGCACTTCGAGGTTTGGGTTTATAAAGTGTAGGATTTAGGGGCTAGGGTTGAGGGCCCGAATCTCTTAAACCTCCACTCTGAGAGGGACTTCTGCTCGGATTGAGTGTCTTTGTCGCATTGATGAAGACTCTTCAAAGCGGGGGGGTGGTTCGGCTGGTTGAGGGGTGTATAGTTTAGGGTTTGAGGTTGAGGGTTATTCCACCCTAGCTAACCTTACATTGATGAGCACACACACCCAACACGCTCAGCGAATTCTCAGCTCTACATGTACCAAAGACCGAACCACTAAACCTTGAATTCCGAACGGCCGAAGCACAAAAAAGTGCCGGCAATGCCAGTTAAATCAAGTTATATCATGTATCCTAAGAAAAGGAGTACGTATATCCGAATCCCCGTAGTTAGTGGAGGTATTGAATGGCTACTGCAGGACCTGAACCCTAAACTCACTGAACCAGAGAGGGTTGCGCAGCCTGGGTCCTTCGGCTATACAAACTCTTACTTGTCGGGTGTCAGGGGGAACTAAAGGTTAACCCTTTTGGTTATGTAGGGATTATATAGGGGATATTGGGGTTATATAGGTTATATAGGGATTGTACAGGGACTTTACTACCCGAAAAATGTGAAATGTTACCTACTCTGCTACTAGGATAAGCGATTTTTGTAGGTTCCTAGTGAATATTGTAAACTCTAAGATGGCATCTAAATAGAGGGGTTAAGGTTCCCTACTCTGCTGCTAGGAACTTCCTGCAGGGCCAAGGTGCACCCCAGCCAGCAAACTGGGACATGCATGCCGCCTCCACGGCCTGCGCACCCACAGAGCCCAGGCGGCCCCGTACCCTGACATTCCAAAATCCTTTATTAAGGAATATATCTCAAATGGTATTAGAGATGCTACTATAATTTAAGGTATATGTCTTAATTACGGGATTTTGGGAGGTCTGGGCAAGCAAGTGATATAGATGAAATCGTTTTTCAACACTCTCAAGCCCTACCTGCGACCCCGAACCCTACAGAATCCAGGATGCCCAGTAACCTAGGAATAAAAGGGGCTCCTTTTTGGTATTTGGTAACTTTATAAGGAACCTAGGACTACAATACAAAGGGAAAAGGGCCCACTGGGAGTCCTAGGAATAGTAGGTGATGACCCCCTAATTCTAGGGCAGAACCCCCCTAAACCGGTAGGGTTTTGGATCCCCAGGTACGTCCTCAGCCCGAATGCCTGAGCCAGAAAGCACCTAAGACCCCTGAACCAGAAGTCTGAAGTACACAATGTAGCGGCCTTAATAATTCGAAAAGGGGCTCCCTTTACACAGGGGTCCCATTAAGGGGTCTATAAGGGATCTATAGTAGGGTTCTATAATATAGCGGCTAACATTCGGAACAGGGTTTTGGGGGGCCATTATGCTATGCTTGTAATAAGGAATCCCCCAAAATAGTATTGGCAATTATTTAGGCCCCTAACGTATACGTATTAGCCTTTCCTGAAAATTCTAAGCCTTGATCACTCTGCCCTAAAACTGGAAGACCGTTCGAGCACAGAATGAGGATCCAACTATTTAGGTTTAGGGCCCCCTACTTCTGAAACGCCCAGCCTGCCCGCAGCGGCGCACACATAGACTACAGATGCACGCCAAAATTCATGCCAAAATCGCATAACTCACGGAAACCCAACTCGTACATTACAGTTGCCTTAATGTCCGTAAGGCACAACCGAAACTGTCCCGCACCCTTGCAATCGAAACCCAAGTCAAAACGGCCTACTACATGTTTCTGACATGGCAAAACCTGACATAACGGAGCACAGCAATATGATAAAGAGAAGGCAACAGTTGACTCATACCCAAACATGACGAATGCTTCAAGCTGTCACTGCCTCCGTCACAGACCCGATCTGATTCACCTCTCGGCATTCAGTGTTGGGAGTTAGGTTGATAGCGTTTTCTTGGCTTCCGGATATACCAGACGTAAGGCGTTTAGAAACGAAGGATTCTGGGATGCCCTAAACCCTAAACCGGGTGTCTCATCTGATGACTTTTGGATTTGGGCTGTTCGGATTGGGGTGCGACCTTTGTTGTCGTAAGCTGTCGACTTAGTGTTCAGGGCTTAGGGGTTTACTCGGAGGCCCAGGGGCGTAACTCCATTTAGGGTACTTATAACTGTACTTCTAACCTACTTACCACTCAGAGGCTGAGTACCTTAGCCCAAAAAAGGTTAACGCCTTCTTCTCATTCAGCTCACTGTCTTTCTTTATCGCCGCAATCGTCGACTTGCTGTCTTTGTCAAAGACGTTCAGCTGCTGTTGATAAAAGGAGCGGTCCTGCTGCAGCTTCCGATTTCCCTCCTCGATCCGTGCCGCCAGCTCCTTTCGATGGCTGTCCTCCAACCTCTTGATGGCCTTGGCGTGCTGGCCCTGGAGCTGCTCCATGGCCATCTTGTGCTTCGCCTCGAGCTGCTCCTCAAGCTCCTTCCGATCCTTCTTGTGAGCTTCGGCATCGGAGGCCAGTTTTTCGCGGAGCTCTCTCTCCTTCAGCCCCAATATCGTCTGCATCATCAAGACATAACCTTTTCATTTTCAATTAGTGTAGGATTATATAAGCCTCAAAAGGCTCAAGGTTACCTACTCAGCTAAAGTCCCCTGGACCCCTAAGTAGGGTCCCGGGCTGCGAACTCGCGGAGACTGCCCTCGAGGGACTTACGGGTTCGGATGGACCTTGGGTCAAGGGACTGGGGACTTAGGGCGCAGGGGTTGAGGACTTTGAGGTTCAGGGTTTAGGGGTTTAGGGTTTGGGGTTTAGCAGTTTAGAGTTTAGGGTCTAGTAAAGTCGTCCGCTAGCTTGGCCAGTGTGGCTGAGATTCCGAGGTACGCGCAGGATCAAAGGGCTCAAAGCGGTGATTCATTGATTCAAAGTACGGCTTCATCACTAGTCACCCCTCCAGAAAAATTCCTAAACCCAGAACCTTAAACCCTAAACCCATAAGCCCTCAAACTCACTGGCCCAAAACCCAAGGAAATCAAAGTTGAAACTTTCAGAAGCGACTGCCTTATAAGAACCCCAGAAGCTGGAAAGTTGGAGGGCTTTGACATTAGGGGGCTGAGTACCCGGCCTTTAGGGTTTAGGGTTTAGGGCGTAGGGCTTATAGGGTTAGGGTTTAGGGTTTAGGGCTTAGGGTTTAGGGCTTCGGGTTTTGGGTTCAGGGTTTTGGGGTTTAGGGTTTAGGCTTAACTTGACCTTGTCGAG